GAAATTAATAGATTCGGTGATGCTTTATCAACTATGAGTAAAAATATCTCAAAAATTATGGAATATTTTACTTCTGACAATAATAATGACGTTAATAATTTTCAAGGGGATAAAATTATTGACAATAATGAATCCCATGAGGATTAAATACCCCTTTAAATATTATTTTTAATGATGAACAATAAAAAAACACATTCTTTTAAGAAAAAACATTATAATAATCCTTCCCCTGTTAATCAAAAATCACGTTCAAATTTAAATAATCAACAAATTTATCGTCTGAAAACACGTCAACGACTCAATTTATCAGATATAATTAAAATAGCTTCATTGAATATTAAAGGTATAACTGATGTTAAAAAACAATTCTTAATTGATATATTAGGTGAATATAATATAACTATTTTGGGTCTATCAGAAACTAATATATCAAACAAAATGGCAAAACATTCTTTTAATTTTTATAGAAATAATTATGTTACTTATTTTGCAAATGAGGAAACTAATTATAGGGGAAATGGTGTAGGTCTTATTATTAAGAAAAATTATGCACGGCATATAGTCAATTATGATAGCTTCAAAGGAAGAATTATATATGTTGATTTTATTTTTAGTGGAAATAAAAAAATGAGAATCATTAATTATTAATTATTATGGAAAATCTGGACGAGTTACTTTAGACAATTTTAATCAAGAAGTTAAAATTTATTTTGATAAAATCAAAGAATTGGTTAGAGAAAGTAAAGCACAAAATGCAGAAATTATTCTTCTTGGTGATTTTAATCTTCATTATGAAAAATATCTGGATGATAAAAATAATAATCGTAAAATAAAAAAAGAACATAAACTTTTTGAATGATTGAAGATGAACAAAATTTTTATGATCCTTTCTATATCATGTTAGATAATTTATCACAACATTCCTTAAATACTTTCTATTCTTTTAATACAAATCAAAATCCTTCTAGAATAGATTACATTTGGGTAACAGAAAATTTATTTTCAGAAACACAAGAATGCAAAATTGTTAATACAACAACAATTAATACTGATCATAGAATGTTAGTGTATTCAATATGGTCAGAAGATTTGATTGGTAAAGAAGTTTATAAGTATGATAAAATGGATGGAGAGCAGTGGGAATTATTTCAGAATGATCTTAATAAATACATTTCAAATTCAGAAATTTTAAAATTTAATTTTAACGATAAAAATAATATTAATCATATATGGGATAAGATCAAAAAAGGTCTTGTTCAAGCTAGTAAAAATTGTATTCCAATAGAAAAAATCAAATTAACTAAAAGTAAAGTCAACCCAATGAAAATATCTAATGCATATAAAGTAATGAAATTTTTAATAAATTTCAGACGTTCAATTAAAGATTCAAGAAAAAGAAATCATGTGATCAGAAATTAGATTACATATAGAAAAAAATTATTGGAAATTGGAAGAGAAAAAAGTGATTATTGTTGGAATAAAATTCCTAAGGATAAAAAAAGTGTCAAGGAAATTTTTGAAGAAATAAAAAATTTATATCAAATTTATTTAATCCTATATAATAACAATCTTTTACAATTCAAAGAAGAAAAAATTAAACTAGCAATTGACCAACGCTATGAAGATTTATTAGAAAATCAAAAACATATGATTAATAGTGTAATGGAAAGTGAAATTAAATCCATTGTATTAGACAGAGTTCTAATTAAAGAAAATAATGAAGATAAATTAATCACTGATGAAGAAAAAATAAAAGATATTGTAAA